TGGTTTTTGTTTTTGTTTTTGTTAGTTGTGGGGCTTAAACTCTGGGCCTGGGTGCTGTCCCTCAGCTCTTCAGCTCAAGGCAAGCACTTTACCACTTGAACCACAGCTCCACTTTTAGTTTTCTGGTTTTTTATTGGAGATTAATAGTGTCACAGACTTTCCTGCTTGGGCTGGCTTTGAACTGCAGTCCTCAGATCTCAGGATTACAGGTGTGAGCCATCAGCACCTGGCTGTGCTTATTTTTTTTAACAAGCACAACATTACAAGATATCCTAGTATTTATTTGGCAGTCTTTATGCCTTTTTCTGGGTATCATGTTCCTTTACCTATAGGTAAAGGAATAAAGTCAGATATGCTTCAGATTAAAAACTGTAAGTATGTTTGCATTCAGCTTTTGCCTTGGAGTTATTGCTATTTTTTGGTCTTAATCTCATGAGTGTGAATTCATTGTAGTTATAGGAAACTTCATTAAGTGGGAAGCCTGAAGACTTGAATTGATTTGGATTGGCATCAAATAATTGTATCAACTACCTAGAAATCAACCTTTGCATCTTACAGCTTTTGTGGTGCAACATCCCCATCTTGTGGCTTTTTTCAGTCTTCACAGGAAAGATGGTTGAAGCCTCAGTGGTTATTTGAAATATGACTGGAGTGCTGGGCCCTAAACTAGAAAACATCATTTACTGTGTATTTTGGTTTTGAGTTTCATGTGTAAAAATAGCTTTTCCAGCTATTGTAACACTGCATATTAATTAGCATTGCCAATAATGGGTCAGATAATCTTAGAACTATTTTCTTGAACTGTATAGAGATGGTAAAAAGTTTAGCAGTAACAAAACAAAGTTTAGCACTTTAGGTTTGCTTCATTTATGACACTTTGGTAAAAAGAAACATTAAATTTACAATTTTTTTCTTAGTAATTTTGGATGCTGGTAAAGGTCATCTGACTTAATTGATTTAAAGAGGAAGCAAAAATTATAAACACAAGCTTATTTATTTTAGAGGAATGACATCCTAATGGCAAGAGTAGTTAAAATTGTTTTCAGATTGCTTGAAGTCTGGCAGACATTGGCTTACTCCTGTAATTGTAGTTACTCAAAAGGTGGAGACTCTCCACTTAGCTAGTTTTAGCCAGACTGGATGTGTGGATCAAGTGGTAGAATGTCATCTGTGAGCAAGAAAGCCCAGCAAGAACAAAGGCCCCAAGTTCAAGCCCTAGTACTGACACAGACACACAGAACTCTAAAAGAATTACCTTGAACAATAAAATGGTAGTATATTGTGTCAGTACAGCTTAAAAAAAAAGTAGTGGCCAGGTGGTATATTAATAGAAACTTAGAGATTAGGATGGTATTTATAGGAATTCAGGAAGAATTTATGTTGTTTTTTTTAATTGTAAAAATGTACCAGAGGGGTTACAGTTACATGAGTAAGGTAATGAGTACATTTCCTGTCGAACATTGTTACCTCCTCCTTTGTTTTTCCCCTACCATCCCTAGAACTTTATTCTTTTGGGTTCTGTCGTGGGGCCCAAACTCTGGGCCTCGGCGCTGTCCCTCAGCTCTTCAGCTCAAGGCTAGCACTCTACCACTTGAGCCACAGCACCACTTCCGGCTTTTTTTTTTTTCTTCTGTGGTGCTGAGGAATCAAACCCAGGGCCTCAGGCATGCAAGGCAAGTGCTCTACTACTGAGCAATCTTCCCAGCCCTAGAACTTTATTCTTAACTGAAGGAGATAAATAGAAGTTTTATGTCATATTGTATAACCACTAAAATGATCATAGTAAAAATATGTTTGTGAAAAAAGCCACCGCGGCACAAGTACAAGCTATTAAGTAATCAATGCAAAGCCCAGGGGAGGAGATGTGGGACAAGCACTATTCTATAACAATTGTGTGAGAAAATACCATTGGATTCCTCTTAGAGCCCCTCTCTGGATGGAGAGTCTCACTCACTACTTTCTTTCACAGCTTTCCTTTTACTTTCAAATACGCTTGCTCTGTTTACCTTAAAACAATTATGTTGTTTAAAGAGCATTCCCTTTGAGGAATTCCCTTTGAGGATTTCTGAATCCACAATGATTCAGTGAGGTAAGAACTATTGTTATCTGACTTTTATAGTTGAGAAAATGTTTTCAGGATCACCTGTCAAAAGTGGGCAGAGGGGCTGAGAATATAACTTAGTAATAGAATGCTTGCCTAGCATACATGAAGCCCTGGGTTCCAGTCCTAAGAAAAAGCTGGAAGTGGCACTGGCTCAAGTGGTAGAGTGCTAGCCTTGAGCAAAAGAAGCTCAGGGACAGTGCCCAGGCTCTGAGTTCCAGAACTGGTCAAAAAAAAAAAAAAGTGGGCAGAACTAGAGTGGGATTTGGGCGTTGGACTCCTAGATTTGTACACATATAACCAGCATGTACTCCTGTGTAGTTTGTAGTGTTGTGCAAAGGGGAGAACAATGATGTGGTCTTGGCACCAGGTTTTAGTGCTAGATCTGCCACTATGAACTGTGTGACCTTGGAAAGGTATCACAACTTTAGTTTCAAGTTCCCTCCTCCCTCCAGGACTAAATAGTATAGCATCGCACTTAATATATGTTAGGTAAATGGTTATAGATAATTACAACAATTTTGATGACTTTTTTTTGGGGGGGTGGTCAGTCATGGGGCTTGAACTGTGGGCCTGGGTGCTGTCCCTCAGCTCTTCAGCTCAACGCTAGCGCTCTACTACTTGAGCCACAGCACCACTTCCGGTTTTCTGGTAGTTAATTGGAGATAAGAGTCTCACGGACTGTCTTGCCCGCGCTGGCTTTGAATTGGCTTTGAGATTCTCAGATCTCAGCCTCCTGAGTAGCTAGGATTACAGGTATGAGCCACCATGCCCGGCCTTGATGACTTTTTAATGTCATCTTCATATTTCTGTGACCTGTTGTCTTCAAATATTTTGATGTTGTACCATACAATAAATGATTAATAGTTTTTGTTTTAAGGTTGATGAAAAGTTTTTCATTTTATGTTTGAAGGGACACCAGTTACTAAGAATTAGGAAGTGGAAGAGACGTTTGTCTTTAGCAGGAGAAATAATTAAAAAAAAATGAATGAGTCAGTTCTTTTTATTTATTTTTTATTTTTTTGGTCGGTCATGGCCTGAACTCTGGGCTTGGGCCCTATCCTTGAGCTTCTTTTACTCCAGGCTAGCACTCTACCACTTGAGTCATAGTACCACTTCTGGCTTTTTCTGTGTATGTGGTACTGAGGAATTGAACCAAGGGCTTCATGCATGCAAGGCAAGCACTCTACCTACCATTAAGCCACATTTCCAGCCCATGAGTCAGGTTTTTAAGGATGTGATTGTTTCTTTTTTGGCATCTCCTAGGGCTTCTCAGGGCCTGGGCTCTGTCTTAGAGCCTCTTTGTGCTCAAGGCCACCACTCTACCACTTGAGCCACAGTGCTACTTCTGACTTTTTCTGAGTAGTGTATTGGAGATGAGTCTCTCAGGGCTGGGAATGTGACTTAGGGTATAGTGCTTGCTTAGCATACATGAAGCCCTGGGTTTGATTCCTCAGTATCACAGACACAGAAAAAGCCGGAAGTGGCACTGTGGCTCAAGTAGTAGAGCATTAGCCTTGAGCAAAAAGAAGCTCAGGGACTGTGCCCAGGCCCTGAGTTCAAGCCCCAGGACTGCCCTCCCCCTTCCCCCCGAAAGTCTTACAGACTCTTCTGCCCATGCTGACTTTGAACTGCAAGCCTCAGATCTCAACTCTCAGAGTAGCTAAGATTCTAGGCATGAGCCACCAATGCCTTCCTGAGATATGATTTTTCTTTTCTTTCAGCTCTGAGAGAGAGAGAGAGAGAGAGAGAGAGTGTGTGTGTATAGAATGTGTGATGGAGTTGAGGGGAGATTTCATGTAAGATGCTATTTTCGAGCATGGAAATCTTCTTTCGTGGGGCTTGAACTTTGGGCCTGGCACTGTCCCTCAGCACTTTAGCTCAAGGCTAGTAGTGCTCTACCACTTGAACCACAGCGCCACTTCCAGTTTTCTGAGTCGTTTATTGGAGATAGGAGTTTCACAGACTTTCCTCCCGGGCTGGCTTTGATCTGTGGTCCTCAGATCTCAGCCTCCTGAGTAGCTAGGATTACAGGCATGAGCCACTGGCACCTGGCTGGAAATCTTCTTGAGTAGAGAAATTAAGGTCAGTAATCCAGACAATGTAGAAAATTGAGAGATTTATGGTTATAGATCAGGGATTGGAGATCCTAATGCTGAAAAAGTAGGAGTTTCTAGATCAAAAGATTTATGTGTTAGGATTTTAGGAATCTAACAAGGAGCAATGAGGTCTAAAGAGCAAAAACATGTGTGACATGGGATTGAGATGTAGAAAAGAGTAGTGAATATTGAATGGTTGGACCAGAAACAAAAGAAAGAACCTTTTGCAAATCAAGCAACTTCCCAGTGGCAATTGAGTGATGGTACTGCCTTGGTAGAGGGAGGACAGCACAAGTTAGAGATGGTAGCCCTAACTAATGGAAAGAGGAAGTGTAGGAGATAGGGGCCATAGCAGCACTCTAGAAAACCCAATCTTTTGGTACTTTTTCAAACACTGAATATAATTCTCATAAAAAAATCATTAGAATGTATATATTAGTGAACTTAACTTATATGAACTGTCTGGTCATGCCTGCTTATTTGATGCCAAGTATAGAAAAATCATGTGGGAAAAATACTTATTTTATGTTCATTTCCTTGTGATTGACTTAGCCAGTGTAAAAATGAGCAAATAGAAATGAATATGAATGTTCTATACTTCCGTTAATACTTGATACAATGCTTTCTTAACAGTATTTTTATTTTGAGGGGTTGTTAGACTAACCATTTGGTGGGCTAGAATGGGTGAAAATAATCTTGTCTTTTGGGAAAAAATTTGAAAAAAATAATCTGAAAAGGCTGAATTTAAATGTAGTTCTTCTGTGAGCTTTTTACATTTCTGTTGACATTCTTTTGTATAGGAGTTAAAGTTCCTCGTAATTTTCGCTTATTGGAAGAACTTGAAGAAGGACAAAAAGGAGTAGGCGATGGTACGGTTAGCTGGGGCCTTGAAGATGATGAAGATATGACACTTACAAGGTGGACAGGCATGATTATTGGGCCACCAAGGGTCAGTGCTGTATATATATATTTTCTATTAATATTTATTGTTAATAAGAAAATTTGATGTTATAGTATTAATATTATAATAAACAATTATGATAACTTTTAACTGAAATAATACCTCCCTGTTACTTTGTGTGCATTTATTGATGCCTCCTATATTCAGTATGATGCTCAGTTTTATCTAGAGGATTGGGGTGGGGGAAATAAAAGTGGCAAACATTGTTGCTATCAAGGTATTTGTAGTATTTAGTAGAAAAGGAAAAAACAATGAGTATAAGTGACAGATTCTAAATTTGGCAGAGCAAGTAAGTTCACTGTGGGACTTTAGAATATGTTTCTTCTAGCTGGAATAAATTGAGGAAGGCTGAACAGTGGAGGAAGTTGCCTTTGGAATGAGCCATAAAGGACTGACTGGTAGGATTTCTGAAGGTTGTGATGGGGATGGAGAACATTCCAGATAGAGAGGAAAAAAGGTGAGGAAATGGAGGGGATATTTGGGAATAGTAAACAGTCATTTTGGCTTAACATGTTACTAACCCCCTTGTATAAATGAGGGTTTTTAAATTGGTTTGTATTGAATGAACATTGTTATTTGCTCTCTGACATTTCATATGCCACGGACATCCATCCCGTAGGCCTGGATTTCTTTGTTCATAAAATACTTTTAAAAGTCTAAGAATTTGTTGGGAGTATAGCTCAGTGGCTGAACCAATGGTTTAGTAAGGGGACCAATAAAGCAAAGCAAAACAAAAATCTGGGATTCTTACATATTTTCTGGTATTGTTGGCAGTTGGCCTCTTAAGCATTATTCCTAAGTCTTTCTTAGGTTTGTAAAGTTTGTAAAGTTTCAATTTTACGCAAAATCTTTTCTAGATTGAGAAACTTTTTTTTTTTAAATTACATTCCTTAACTCAAATGTATTATACGGTATTCTTTGTCTTCAGGGAGATTTTGTTGTTTTTCAGTCTTTGGTTTTGAAAGCATGTTATCTTGCTGTTGGGTAAAATTTAGATTTCCTCTTGATTTGTTACAAAACTGGAAATCTTAGAGAATGAATATTTGTGTGTGTGTGTGCATGAGTGCGCGCGTGCTTGGTGGTACTCGGGGTTTGATCAGGACCTTGCACTTGGCTAGACAGGTGCTCTTTACTGCTAAGCCATGCCTCTAGCCTATGTATTTTATGTATTTTTAAAAATATTCTTTTGCAATATCCATTAGTACTCTTAAACATTTCCTTCTTTCTTTCCTTGATGAAAATTTTCCTTAAGACAATTTGAGGAAAGAAATATGATATTGATGGTTAGAAGTCTTTATAACTTTGTGTTGTTTTGTTTGTTTGTTTTTTGGTTGGTTGTGGGGTTTGAACTCTGGCCTGTGTGCTGTCTCTGAGCTCTTCAGTTCAAAGCTAGCATTCTACCACTTGAGCCTCAGTACCACTTCTGGTTTTCTGAGTGGTTTATTGGAGATAAAAGTTTCATGGACTTTCCTGCCTGGGCTGGCTTCTTGAGCTAGGATTACAGGGGTGAGCCACTAGCATCTGGCTTAAAACCTTGATTTTTTAAAAATTGCATATAACCATTACCCTTATCTGTATTAAAACAACAAGTGTTACCAGAATTCAGAATTAGAATAGTTTGAAGATTTAAGTAAGAACTTGGTGGAATTTTTTGTTAGTTTGTTTGTTTGTTTTTTGCCAGTCATGGTGCCTGAACTCTGGGCCTGTGGCACTTGAGCCACAGTGCCACTTCCGGCTTTTTCTGCTTATGTGGTGCTGAGGAATCGAACCCAGGGCCTCATGCATGCAAGGCAAGCACTCTACCATTGAGCCACTTTCCCAGCCCATGAATCTTAATTTGAAATTATTTAAATTTGTTTTTTTTTAAGCCACGGCTTCCAGTGGACTTAAACCTTGAGAATGTTTTATAGCTAGGGTCTCAGTTTTGTTAGTGGTCTTATGGGAAGACCCTTAGCATAGTTCTCAGATGTGAGGAACTGCTATAGTCCTACTTGATCCTCTTATGTGGTTGAGATCCGTTGCAGGATTCCCAATCTAGCCACCTTTCCTAATGTCATTGAAGCACTTACTGTAAGTGCTGTGTCCATGCCCAATGTGTGTGAGGAGGTAAAGGCTATTTCTCAAGAGCTCTGTACATAGAGCACATAGACAAGGCAGTACTAAAAGACCTTCCCTCTGAGTTACTGTCTTGGAGTGTTAGGGGAAAATAATGGTAACTCTTCTTACTTATAACAAAGTTTATGGCTGAGGCACCTGTAATATAGATTAAAAAGAGAAAAAGATGTACATTTATTTTATTTAAATTTTATATTTTAGAAATAAAGTCCTGGGGCTGGGAAGGTGGCTCAGTGGTAGAGCGCATGCCTTGCATGCCAGAGGCCCTGGGTTCGATTCCTCAGCACCACATAAGCAAAAAAAAAAAGCCAGAAGTGGCGCTGTGGCTCAAGTGGTAGAGCGCTAGCCTTAAGCTGAAGAGCTGAGGGACAGTGCCCAGGCCCAGAGTTCAGGCCCATGACCAGACTCAAAAAAAAAAAAAAAAGAAATAAAGTCCTAAAGAAACAAGTTAGTGTGTGTGTGTGTGTGTGTGTATATATATATATATATATATATATATATATACACACACACACACACACACATTCACACTATTTTTTTTTTTGGCTGATTGTGTAGCCTGAACTCTGGGCCTGGGCGCTGTCCCTCAGCTCTTTAGCTCAAGGCTAGTAGTGCTCTACCACTTGAGCCACAGTGCCTACCTCCGGCTTTTTTCTTTTTGCTTATGTGGTGCTGAGGAATTGAACCCAGGGCCTCAGGCATGCAAGGCAAGCACTCTACCACTGAGCCACCTTCCCAGCCCAGGTTAGTATTTTTATGTTAAGTTTGGTTAAGAGTAACTAGTTGGACATCATTGAACAAAAAGTATGACTGAGTGGTAATAAGCTAGAGGGAGAAACTTGGTAAGGATTTTTTTTTGGGGGGGGGTATGGTCCTGGGGCCTGAACTCTGGGCCTGGGCGCTGTCCCTCAGCTCTTTAGCTCAAGGCTAGTAGTGCTCTACCACTTGAGCCACAGTGCCTACCTCCGGCTTTTTTCTTTTTGCTTATGTGGTGCTGAGGAATTGAACCCAGGGCCTCAGGCATGCAAGGCAAGCACTCTACCACTGAGCCATCTTCCCAGCCTGCAAGTTTTTCTTTTAAAAGGTGTAATATTTACAGCAAACGTCCCCAAAATTGACTGATTCTTCAGCTAGTCTGTATACTAGGAAAATGCTTAAGAACTGTTGAAGGCCAGGTATGGCAGCATGTACTTGTTACCACCGGTGACATGGGGTAGCACAAATAGGAGGATCACATCCCTATTTGGCCTGGGCATAGAATGCAAGATCCTACTTTGAATATAACCAGGGCAGCCAGGTGCCTGTGGCTTATGGCTGTAATTCTAGTTACTTAAGAGGCTAAGATCTGAAGATCACAGTGTGAAGCCAGTCTAGGCAGGTAAGTCTGTGAGGCTCTTGAAACTTAAAAATTCTGAGGCCAGGGCCAGGTGCAGGTGCTCATGCTTGTAATCCCAGTTACTTTGGAGGCAGAGATCAGTAATTCCATAGTTTGAGGCCAGCCTGAATGAAAAATTAGTGAAACATTATCTTAATCCAATAATTTAGGCCTGGTAACTCAAACCTGTGATCTCAGTGACTTTGGAAACCATAGATAGGAGGATGGAAGTCTGAGGCTGCCTCCTACCAGTAGTGTAGGAACTACTTTAGGGGATGGAGACATGGCTCAGTGTCTGGCAAGTGTAAGGCTCTGAGGTCAAACCTCAGTACCAAATTGAGGTAGAATTTACACATAGTAAGGCACATAGATTTTGTCATGAGTTTAACAGGTGTACCTTGTGACCTACATACATATTGGGAGATAGAACAAACATCTCATTTGTCCCAGAAGACTGTACATTTTCCCACCCCAATTAAGAGGAATTTTACATGTTTTAGAACTGTTCTATAAGTGGAACAGCTTTCTTTTATCATTATTATTATTATTGTAGTTTGAGGCCAGATGGGACAGACTAATTTATCAATTAACTAGCCAAAAGCTGGATCTGGAGCTGTGACTCAGTGATAGAGTACTAGCTGTGAGTGAAAAAAGCTGGACCAAAGTGTGTGGCTCTGAGTTTAAGATCCCTCTAAAATACCATTTTCACTTTTATTTTACTTTTCTCTTTTAGTGATAAAATTACACAGAGCCTTAAGGAGAAAGAAAAACTACAGTCATAGAAATAAGCCCTCAATAATCTAGAAGCTTTAAAATAATAATTTAGAAAACCTATTTTAAAATGATATAGAGCCGGGCGCTGGTGGCTCACGCCTGTAATCCTAGCTACTCAGGAGGCTGAGATCTGAGGATTGCGGTTCAAAGCCAGCCTGGACAGGAGAGACCGTGAGACTCCTATCTCCAATAAACCACCAGAAAACCGGAAGTGGCGCTGTAGCTCAAGTGGTAGAGTGCTTGCCTTGAGCTGAAGAGCCGAGGGACAGCGCCCAGGCCCAGAGTTCAAGCCCCACCACCGACCAAAAAAAATAAAAAGATATAGAAACAATTTATTGTTATGTTTCTGAATTTAGATAATAGGATTTAAGGAACCACAAAATATAGTAGTAATGGGAGGCATGAAATAATTATGCTTTATCAATAAAGATGGTATATGTTACCCCCTCATTTTTTTTATTGTGAAAATACCATACACAGGGGTTACAATTACATGGGCAAGATAATGAGTACATTTCTTATCAAGCATTGTTGCCTCCTCCTTTGTTTCCCCTTCCCATCCATTCCCATTTCCCCCTTCCCCCCGAACCTCCCTTCATTTTTTAAGTTACTGCTTGCTATATACATAAGGTGATGGTTTATCTGGAAGATATACAGAGTTATATCTCAAGTGGTGAAGTGCCTTCTTCATAGGCCCTGAGTTAAACTCTGGTACCTCATGGGAGTGGGGGAGTAAGCTTGTATAGCCAGGACCATTCTTTGTCTTCGTTTTGAGAATGAAAAGAGTGACTCATTATTAGTAATATTGGAATAAAATGAATAAAGATATAAAAACCTGTATAGGTGTTACACAAATAGTCTTATTATATATTGTTTTTAGCAAAATCTAAATTGAAGTGGTTTTGGTTTCTAATTTGTTGTAGACATTTTTTTGTACTACAAAAAGTTAAGAGACCAGGGCTGGGAAGGTGGCTCAGTGGTAGAGCGCTTGCCTTGCATGCTCGAGGCTCTGGGTTCGATTCCTCAGCACCACATAAGCAAAAAGAAAAAAGCCGGAAGTGGCTCTCTGGCTCAAGTGGTAGAGCGCTAGCCTTGAGCTGAAGAGCTGAGGGACAGCGCCCAAGCCCAGAGTTCAGGACCCATGACCGGACCCAAAAAAAAAAAAAAGTTAAGAGACCATTCTCATACTATTTTGTAGAATTGTTTTAGTTTAGTTTTGTTTTTCCTTTGGTCTTGGGGCTTGAATTCAGGGCCTGGGTACACTATCCCTGAGCTTTTTTGCCTAAGGCTAGTGGTCTACCACTTACAGCCACAACACCACTTCCAGTTTTCTGGTGGTTAATTATAAATTAAAGTCTCTTAGACTTTCCTGCCCAGGTTGGCTTCGAAGAACAGTGATCTTAAGATCTCAGCCTCCTGAGTAGCTAGGATTACAGCTAAGAACCACCAGTACCTGATAATTGTTTTAGTTTTTTAAAAAAATCTTTCTTTTGGAAGTGGCGCTGTAGCTCAAGTGGTAGAGCACTCGCCTTGAGCTGAAGAGCTGAGGGACAGCGCCCAGGCCCAGAGTTCAAGCCCCACGGCCGACAAAAAAAAAAAAAAAATCTTTCTTTTTAACTGTGTTTGTTGAATGTTTCCCTAACTATGTAAGTCAGATAACTTTGAATGTACAAAAATTTAATTCTTAAATCTTAAACATTATCATAAATATGTTTATATTATATTTTCTTATCATTTGGACATTATCTTAGGTATTATGATTATGATTTTCTTTAAAAATTTTTTTTGTCTTCCAGACAAATTATGAAAACAGAATATATAGCCTAAAAGTAGAATGTGGACCTAAATATCCAGAAGCTCCTCCGTCAGTTAGATTTGTAACAAAAATTAATATGAATGGAATAAACAATTCCAGTGGAATGGTAAGTTAATTAGACTTTTAAAAATATAAATATATGTATGTAACATATAGTACATCATTTGGAGAAAGTTTTTATAAACTATTGTTTAGGTGAAAGAATAAGGAAGTGTGTTACTCAAGATGGAGACAGGAAGATGGAGAGTTCAAGGCCAGCCTGGGCTACAAAGGAAGGATCTTTGTCTTAAGAACAACAAAAAGTTTGTCTTATGTTGTTTTTCTTCATGAAGCCTTAAAAACTTTAATGTATATCTACCTAATAGATGAAATAGTAACACTTTTTTTAGGATTTTATTTATTGTATCCATGGTTATATTTTGGTTGAATCCTTAATTTGCTGAAAAGATGATCATTATTTCTCAGTGAGTATTAACTTTTTTTTGTAGGGGTAAGGTACATTTGGTGAGATTAAAGGGACAAAATACTCATGAAGGGTATTTTTCTTTGAGGAACAAGTGTATCTGCTGGAATAGTCATGACTGACTATGATCTTGTTAAAGCAAATAGGCCAAAAGAATATGCTGTAGGTTGACCCATAGAGTTAGTTAAAATAGCTCAATTTTTAATATGAGTAGATTGTTAGGTTTGTGTTAGGATTTTAAGATCCATACTCTGTTGATGCCATATTGAGAGCACACAACAGGCAAATACATGTTAGGAAGCAAAAATTATATAAGCATAATGACATGAAAGTATCTTTTGACTTTTTTTGGGGGGGGGGTCCATTCGTGGGGCCTGAACTCTGGGCCTGGGCCACTGTCCCTCAGCACTTCAGCTCAAAGCTAGCACTCTACCACTTGAGCCACAGTGCCACTTCCAGCTTTTTTCTTTTTGCTTATGTGGTGCTGAGGAATCGAACCCAGGGCCTCATGCATGCAAGGCAAGTGCTCTACCACTGAGCCACCTTCCTAGCCCAGTATCTTTGGACTTTTTGTGTGTTTCTGTTCATGTCATCTTCATGTTCCCTCTTTCCAATAATGTTTTTCATACATTAAAGGATTTCTTGTAGATTACTTCCTTTCCATATTTGTCCAATTTCCCCTGCAAGTAACCACACTTTTGGCAACAAACAGTGTCTTTAGATTTAGAGCTGGCTCTGACTAATCCTTGCCTAGTATACAGGTCTGAGACTGGATCTCAAAGGGCCTGGTGCTTCCTTGCTAGGAGCACTAGCCCAAAGCATGACCCTGAGAAAAGATCAAATAAAGGTTATTAGAAACCTCAACTTTGACATGCTGATGCCACTCTCCACGTCTCACAACACCCTCTCCCCTACAAACTTCCTTTCAACTCTGAATTAGGCTATTTGAGTACCCTTTCTGGTACTGAGTTTGAGATCTGGTCTCAGACCAAAAATAAAGAGTTCCTTTCCATTTTTTTGTCAGTATTTGTGATTTATTGGTATTATGTAGTCTGCTATGTGGTGGTGCACAACTGGATATGTTCAGGTTTAAATAGATCATCCTAGTGGCTTTTGATTTCTTACATATATCTTGTTTTTCACCTACTTTTGGAATGGTTGTTCTTAACCATTTTCATTTAGTTTCTGTTCTTTCAGCGATTATTCTAGAAATTAAGGTGCAAACAACATTTCTGTGTGAACTAATATTAAAAGATATAATTGAGGCAAGATTATGAATTTAAATTTATTGAAAAATATTGTTTAGGAGCTGGGTTTGGTGGCTCATGACTATACTCCTAACTATTCAGGAGGCTAAGATTTGAGGATTGAGGTTCAAAGCGAGTTCTGGCAGGAAAGTCTGTGAGACTCTTTATCTTCAGTTAATTAGCAAGAAGCCAGAAGTGGAACTGTGGTTCAAGTGGTAGAGCACCAGTCTTGAGTAAAAAATGTAAGGGACAGCACTCAGGCACTGAGTTTAAGCCCCAGTTTTTTCTCTCTGTCTCTTTCTCGCTTTCTCCCTCTTCCTCCCTTCCTCCTTTTCTCCTTCCTTCTCCCCCTCTTTCTTCATTTCTTTCTCCCCCTCTTTCTCCCCTTCTGCCCTTCCCCTCTCCCTTTTTACCTCTCCTCTCCTCTCCCCTGCCCCCTCCCCCAAAGAATATTGTTTTAACTGATGACATAGCATTGCTTTTATGGTGAAGATATTTTGTTAGCTTTTTTTTTCCCTGTCAGGTACATAGCTATTTTCAATTATTGCTTTATTTTCATACTATATATAAATTATAAGTAATTAATGCTAGGTTCTACAGTGTTGAGAGCTAGGAAATTCAGGATTAAATTTCAGACCTATTCTAACCAGTTTATTGGAACTCTGGCTTGTGGTTCATTTTTTTTTTTTTTTTGGGTCCAGTCATGGGGCCTGCCTGAACTCTGGGCCTGGGTGCTATCCCTCAGCTCTTCAGCTCAAGGCGAGCACTCTACCACTTGAGCCACAGTGCCACTTCTGGCTTTTTTTTTTCCTGCTTATGTGGTGCTGAGGAATCGAACCCAGGTCCTCATATATGCAAGGCAAGCACTCTACCACTGAGCCACCTTCCTAGCCCTTGAGGTTCATTTTTTGACACGTTTCTCTACTCGATACATCTATCATAGGTTGTGTCAGTTTTATGTAGCTTGAGCTGGGTACCAGTGGCTCATGCCTATAATACTGGTTACTCAGGAGGCTGAGATCTGAGATTTGAGATCCCAAGGCAGCCCAGGCAGGAAAGTCTGTGTGATTCTTATCTTCAATAAGCTACTTAGCAAAAACTGGAACTGGCACTGTGGCTCAAGTGGTAGAGTGCTAGCATTGAGCACAGAGAGGCTCAGGAGTAGGACCTAGGCCCTGAGTTCAAGCCCCAGCACTGCCAAAACAAACAAGAACAAGAAATATGTAACTTTCAGTCATATCTTACTTTTCTGATTGCATTGCTGCCAGCTGACTGATGGCCGCTGTCCCTTGTCTAGACTCTTACAGATTGTACTCTGTTCCCATTCTTTACAAAGTAGGCAGACAGAAAAGGTCTTCCTAAAGTACAAATTATATCTTGTCATTTCATTCTTTAAGGTTCTTTGTTGGGGTGACCGGACATGTAGCTGAAGTAGTAGAGTGCCAGCCTTGTGTGAAAACGCCAAAGGAGAAACCCTGAGGCTCTGAGTTAAAAAATATTCTTTGTTGGGGGCTCAGAAGGTGGCTCAGTGGTAGAGTGCTTGCCTTGCACGCATGAAGCCCTGGGTTTGATTCTCCAGCACCACATAAACAGGGGGGAAAAAAAGCCAGAAGTGGTGCTACAGCTCAAATGGTAGAGCACTATTCTTGAGCTGAAGAGCTGAGGGACAGCGCCCAGGCCCAGAGTTCAGGCCCCACGATGGACCAAAAAAAAAAATTCTTTGTTGTCTTTAGGGCCAGTGTACATCTTGCTTTTCTTGCTGTGGCTTATTGGAAGCCATAACGCGAATGCTTTTCTGTTTTTCATTTGACCTCATTTTTTGCTCTTTTAGTTTGGCTGTATCTTCCCCCTGTCTTTTGGGGCTCTTCATTTCTCTCTCTTTTTTTTTGGGTCCAGTCATGGGGCCTAAACTCTGGGCCTGGGTGCTCTCCCTCAGCTCTTCAGCTCAAGGCTAGCGCTCTACCACTTGAGCCACAGCACCACTTCTGGCTTTTTTCTTTTTGCTTATGTGGTGTTGAGGAATCGAACCCAGGGCCTCTGGCATGCAAGGCAAGCGCTCTACCACTGAGCCACCTTCCTAGCCCGAGCCTTTTGGGTTTCTTTCCATTTTATTATATTATAGTTCATTGTATTCTATTTTTTATTATAAAGGTGATACACATAGGGGTTACAGTTACATAAATTAGGCATTTAATACATTTCTTTTTCAACAGTGTTACCTCCTCATTTTTCTCCCAGTTTTTCCTTCTAGACTCCCTTCTTTCCTCTATGAGCCTTTCAACTGAGGCTTTTATTTTGAGTATTGACCTTTTCTTTCCTGTGTTTTCAGTCTCTAGGTGTGTATTTGTAAAGAATTTCTCTCTCTCTCTCTTTTTTGGGGGGGGGGTCTGGTCGTGGGGCCTGAACTCTGGGCCTGGGTGCTGTCCCTCAGCACTTCAGCTCAAGGCTAGCGCTCTACCACTGGAGCCACAGTGCCACTTCCGGCTTTTTTCTTTTTGCTTATGTGGTGCTGAGGAATCAAACCCAGGGCCTCATGCATGCAAGGCAAGCGCTCTACCACTGAGCCAACCTTCCCAGCCCAGAATTTCTCTTTTATATCCAGAATTGCCTTTGTTATTTCTTGGATTTTCTTTGAATTCATTCAGGTGTTTATATACATGTCTTTTTTAGTTTTGTTGATTATTCATTGATCCTCTTTTGAGTTCATTGTTTAAAATTTCATGTTTTGCTCTTACTTGAGTCCTTTACTGTAGAATTGTTTTTGTTTTTGTTTTTTTACTGTAGAATTGTTGACTTTCGGAGAAGACATGCTGCCTTGTTTTTCTCATTAATTTCTACATTTGGGATTTGTGGATTTTAATGTCTGCCACCTCTGCCCCCCCCCCCAAAAAAAAAAACAAAACCAAAACCAAACAACCAAAAACCTAAAAGATTATCATAGGTGAAAAATAAGGGAAAGCTACTTATTGACAGCTCTAAACGTTTCAGACTTGGAGGGGAAAGGTACCTACCCTCCTCAACAAGGAAGTATATATTGACTATTCTTATCATTGTCTGCTTGTTTTTTTAGTTTGTTTTAGGTATTTGTGATCTTGCTTCCTTTTGTGTTCGTTGCCCTTCCTTCCCCTTCCTCCAGCCCTCAGAAAGCCACAGTATTTACCTTTTAATATTATATTTTTAATCATCTTCTCCCTCTCAAACTTTTACTTACTTTCTATCCACAATGTGTTACATGTACCTGATGAATTATAATTCACAAGCTCGTAATAGCCAGTGTTGATTTAGCAGTATTTAAATTTATTTTTTATTCTTTTAATTGTTATTATAAAGGTGATGGACTGAGGGGTTACAATTACATAAGTCAGGTAATGAGTACAATTCTTTTTGGATAATGTCACCCCTTCCCTCCCTCTCTTCCAGTTTTGCTTCCCATCCCCACCTACAAGTTGTAGAATTCATTTTCAACATAATGTCTATAATACCATTGCTGCATTTGTTCACCCTTTTTCCCTCCATTTCTGTGTGATTTAGATGAATAAATGAACTGCCATTTATTGTTATGTTTTTTTTCTGTTTTTGGAGTAGGTTGGTATAGTTCACTTTAAAAAAAATTATGAAACTCTTGCTACTCTTTTTTTTTTTTTGGTCCATCATTGGGCATGAACTCTGGGCCTGGGTGCTGTCCTTCAGCTCTTTAGCTCAAGGCTAACACTGTAACACTTGAGCTACAGTGCCACTTCTGGTTTTCTGGCGATTTATTGGAGATAAGAATTTCACAGATTTTCTTGCCCGGGCTGGCTTTGAACCATGTTCCTCAGATCTCAGCCTCCTGAGTAGCTAGGATTACAGGTGTGAGCCATTGGCACTGGGCTCTTGCTACTCTTTCAAGCCTTGTATAAAGTGTTATTCATTTTAGCATTATAGCATTTTTTTCTCGTTTGACTAAGAAAACTATCACTTAAAATTATGTATTGTTTTTAACTTTTATATTGTGATATTTACATTCTGTACTATTTGTTCAAGGTGTACAGTTTTTCTCCCCACTGTTGTGGATCAAACCCAGGTTTTGTCAAGTTCTGTACTACTCAGCTACATATCAAACACCACTTGCTTTTGTACATTATTTATTTTTATTTTTTGTCAGTCGTGGGGCGTGAACTCTGGGCCTGGATGCTCTCCCTCAGCTCTTCATTTCAAAGCTAGTGCTCTACCACTTGAGTCACAGCACCACTTCTGGTTTTCTGAGTGGTTTATTGGAGATAAGAGTCTTACAGACTTTCCTGCCAGGGCTGGCTTTGAACCATGGTCCTCATATCTCAGCCTTCTGAGTAGATAAGATTACAGGCATGAGCCACCATGCCCAGCCACCACTTGCTTTTGAATCTTCACAGAATTGTGGATCTATCATTTAGAGTATTTCATTCTTTCCAAAAGAAATCCATACCCTGTTGTCACTTGTATCTACTTCCTTCACCTTAAACAGTACTAATTTGCAATCTATTTTTTGTGTTTTAAGATTTGCCTTTTCTGGGCTGGGAAGGTGGCTCAGTGGTAGAGCGCTTGCCTTGCATGCATGAGGCCCTGGGTTCGATTCCTCAGCACCACATAAGCAAAAAGAAAAAAGCCGAAGTGTGCTGTGACTCAAGTGGTAGAGCGCTAGCCTTGAGCTGAAGAGCTGAGGGACAGTGCCCAGGCCCAGAGTTCAGGCCCCATGACCGGACTCCAAAACAAAAAAAAAAAGATTTGTCTTTTCTGGATACTTTATGTAAATAAATTGATACGTATTCTTTTGTGACTTAAACATGTTTTCAAGATTCATCCATACTTTTGCATGTATTGATATTTTATTGACTGTGTGTGTGTCTGTGTCTGTGTGTGTGTCTGTATGTGCACCAGTGCTGGGGCTTGAAGTTGGCCTGAATGCCATCCTTGAGCATTTTTGCTTAAGACTAACATTGTATCTACCACTTGAGCCACAGCTCCACTTCTGGATTTTTTTAGCAGTTAATTGGACATAAGAGTCTCAGAGACTTTCCTGCTGTGCTGGCTTCAAATTGATTCTCTAGATCTCAAGCTTCTGAATAGCTATGATTATAGGCAAATCCACCAGTGCTGATCTCAATGTAGTTTTGATTTTTTTTCTCTGATTGCTAAAGGTGTTGAGCACTTTTTAAATGAACTGGCCCATTTGTGCTTAGTTTGAGAACTGTCCAATTCACCTGTCCATTTTTTGCATTATTATTCTTTGGTGCTTATTTTTTGAGCTCTATCCTGGATATTAATATTTTGTCAAAGAATAACTAGCAAAGGCTGTATTTTATTATGTATATTGTCTCTTCATTCTGTTGTTCCTTTTGGTATGCAGAAGCTTCTTTACTGATAAACTCCTCTTTGTTAGTTCTTGCTCTTATTTTGTGGGCAATTGGAATCATATTCAAAAAGTTCCTGCCTATATCTTTTAAATTTTTTCTTGTATTTTAAAAGTTTCAGCCTGGTTCTGGTGACTCATGCCTGTAATCCTCGCTCTTCAGGAGTCCGAAGTCTGAGGATTGCTGATTGCTGTTCAAAGCCAGCCTAGGTAGAAAAGTCCATGAGATTCTTACCTCTAGTTAACCACCCGAAAACCCGAAGTGCTCTGTGGCTCCAAATGGTAGAGTGCTAGCCTTAAGCAACAGCTCAGGGGCAGCACTCAGGCCCCTAGTTCAAGTTCCACAATGGACAAAAAAAAGTCTCAGGTTTTTCATAAAGGTCTTTGTTCAGGGTATTCTACAAGGTGAAAGATGGGGATCTAGTTTAGTCTTCGACATGTGGATATCTAGTTTTCCCAGAACTTTTGGTTGAAGAGGCTGTCTTTTCTTTGATGTGTTTTTTACCTAGCAAACCAGCGGGTTTATTTCTGGCTCCTTTATGCTGTTCCATTAGTCTATTATAACATTTGTTTCTGATGACAACGTATACTTACCACATGTTTATTACAGAAGTATACATACAAAAAGAAATCTAGTGTTCTGGGAAATTTCTGTGAAAGCATTATTTTTGCTAAATAGGCTATTTCTTTTTTTTTTTCTTTCTGGGTCCAGTAGTGGGGCCTGAACTCTGGGCCTGGGCGCTGTCCCTCAGCTCTTCAGCTCAAGGCTAGTGCTCTACCATTTGAGCCACAGCGCCACTTCTGGCTTTTTTCTTTTTGCTTATGTGGTGCTGAGGAATCGAACCCAGGGCCTCATGCGTGCAAGGCAAGTGCTCTATCACTGAGCCACTTTCCCAGCCCTAAATAGACTATTTCTGAACTTGCATCCTCATTAAAATATGCTTAATGAGGATGCAATAGTGCTATCTTCTTATTTTTCTTTTTGAGATAGGGTCTTGTTATGTAACCCAGAAAGGTCTTGAACTATGTAGCTCAGATTGATTTTGAACTTTATAATTATCCTACCCATGCCTCCCCATGTTCTGATATTATAGGTGAATGCTGTTATGTCTGGCTATGGTTCCATAGTACTTTAAACCTGGAAATTAATTTTACTCTTTTTCCCACTTCAGGTGGATGCACGGAGCATACCAGTGTTAGCAAAGTGGCAAAATTCATATAGCATCAAAGTTGTACTTCAAGAGCTAAGACGTCTAATGATGTCCAAGGAAAATATGAAGCTTCCACAACCACCTGAAGGACAAACATATAATAACTAATTTTAGTGAATTGCAAATTTGTCTTAAATCAACCTTCTACTCATATTAATGTCTTGATTAAATATCACAATGCAAAATACCTACACATTAAGTAAGAGAATTCCAGCTGGTAAATATGACCTGGACACTTGTAAGAATATATTTAATATATGTACACCCATTATGTTTTCAGGTAACAGGAGGAAAAATGCAGCAGAATTTTTCTTTCTCTTGTTAAGGCATTGTCATTTAAACATGAACCTGGAGTACTCGAATTAGAACTCAGGTTTTCAAGGTGAAAGCATTGCAAGAAGAGTCAGATGGCAGTGGAAAATGAGTGCGCTTCTGAAACATAAAATCTCCAGAAGGAAAAACTGAAGTGGCATGCTTTATCCATCTTACTTAGTGAAAAAGCTGCAGTTGAAATTGGTTAAAGTAGCAGGTACAGTGGATATTGTCAAAAATTGTGTTAATTTTTGAAACAGTGTGGGTGCTGACTACTAGTAGTATCAAAAATATGTTCAGGATTGTTTTGATACCTGTATTTATAATAAAAAGATGTTGGGGGGGATCGATGAATTTCTGTTAAAAGCTGTTCCTGTGTGTTACATGTAACAGACATGACAAATATTTGTTTACAGTCTTTGTTTAATAAACCATGCATTTATGTTTAAGTCAACAAAAAGGAAATAAGTGTATGGATATGTGATTTTGAGATTAAAGGTAGTCTTAAAATGTAAATAAAATGTGGAACTGTCGTAAGAGACTATGCCATTTCTATTACATTGGTATATATGTGTGTGTGTATAATTGGTATATATGTGTGTGTGTATATGTGTATACATATACATATATATATATCTATATACACTCCTTGTCAAGGTAGCAAAAGTTAGAATTATTGTAGCTTTTCATCAAAATGCACCCTTTATTATGTATCCTATTTTTTGTAAACGTGATTGGAATTTGCAGAGCATTTAACAAATAATTTAGATTCTTCTTTTGCACCATGGAATTTACCTTGCACCAGTTATTATATATCTAATTCGATTTCTTCAGAAATAATGACATTAAAATAACATTAAAAAGGTCTTTGGTGCCGGTATGAAGCCCTGGGTTAAATCCCTGATACTGAGGACAAAAAAAAATCTGAAATATCACAGTTCTTATAGAATTAGATTGTAGATTATTTAAGTGTACATTCCCATTTGTCTTCATTACACTTTTTCTTTTTCGGTGACTTAAGTTGAATAGAATGAATTGATTAGAGACATTTCTTCCTGTAGTTAATACTTTTAAAACCATCAAGTTTTAATTTTATCCATTCCACCAACAAATAACTGTGAAGTCAGAAATTCATTTATGTTCTACTTTACCAAAATGATATGAGCCTTTAGATCGTTGTTTTCATGTGAAGTATATTTCATGTCAAGGTCACTGTTTTCACTGGGTATATTGCTTTGTTACAGATGTTTTATGAATTCACTGAAGAATATTGAAAGACAGGTAAAAAGGGTCCTTTTATTTTGGCGAGTTTGATTTTCTTTTACTTAAGAATATTTAGGCAAGCCAAAATCATGATTGTCAACATGCTAAATTATATGTCCAAACTTTGCTTGTAAAATAAAGAAAAGGCAGTTGACTTTAGATTATTTAAAAAATATTTTAGTTACCTTTTTAAAAAAATTGGTACTGGGATTTTAACTCAGGGCTTCTCCCTTGTTTAGCTTTCTTGCTTGTCTGGTACTCTACCACCTGAGCCATGCCTCCAGCTCTGCTCTTTTTGCTGGTTATTTTAGGGATGGACTCTCCTGTCTGGGCTAGTTTCAAACTGAGACCTGCCAGATCTCAGCTTCCTGAGTAACTAGCACTACACATGTGGAGTTACTGGTGCCTGATTGATTTATGTTTTTTGTGTATGCTGGTCCTGGGGCTTGAACTCAGGGCCTGGGCACTGTCCTTGAGCTGTTCTGCCACTTAAGCCACATCTCCACTTCAGCCACAGCTCCACTTCAGCCACAGCTCCACTTCTGGCTTTTATCTGGTTAATTAACGATAAACATCTCATGGATTTCCCTACCCAGGCTGGCTATGTATTGAGAACCTCAGAGTTAGCCTCCTGAGTAGCTAGGATTACAAGTGTGAGTCACTACACCCAACTTCGTTTCTTTAATAGTTTAACATGGACATGCCTGAAACATACCCTGGTATGTTTAAGAGTGAAAGCCTTGAGCTACCTTAATTATTAGTACATTAAAGCAGTGACAGTTTAAACATTAATTTTAATATGGCTAGTCTATTTTAATTATTGAAGATAACCTTAAATACTTTAATATGAAGACCTACACATACAAATTAGTACATTTCAATTAAAATAGATTTAAAATGGAATTTATGTTAAAAACAAGTATTAAAGAAGATTAAATGGAATCACACTGACACTATATGAAGTCTGATGCTAACTGGTAGTCATGAGTCTATAGTAACTTTTCCACTCTGCAAATGTCTTATACATGAAAGCTAGGAACTAATTGAATGATGTTGGCAGGCTGAGAATCTTATCCTTTGATCTTATGTCCCCTTTCCTTTCTTGATATATGCACCATTGTGTGCCTCCCACTCACCCTGGTAAATGGCGCCCAAGTTAGATCTATGATGTTTTCTTTCCTTTGTTTTGGGGTTTATGAATCTCTGTAGAAATCTGCATGCCAATTAACCAGTCTCCAAAAGTAGAATCCATTTTGCATGTCACAATCCAGATTTACATGGCAATCTAAATGCACTGATTGATATATGAAGAGTTAGCATACATAGAGCCTCTTTAAATTATATTAACTTTTCTAAGACACCAATTGTGAAGCAATTTTTCCTGCTTGTTTTGTGAAGTGGCTAAAGGTCATAGGAGTGTGTGGTATCACTTTTCAATTGAACTGTAAAATTGCCTTAGAAATTTGTTTAAAGATTAGCAAGTGAGTCCTTGAGGATGTTCATACTAATAAAGATTACAAAAATAAAATTCTTGTCCTATTAGGTCAGTTTTATGCTTTAATGGTTTTAATTACTTGATGACTAGTTTTCAGAATTGGTAATTTTGAAAATATTTTCTCTAAAATTTTAAAGAAATGGCATTTGTTTTGGGGGGCTTGTATTTTACTTCCTAAGATTTTGGAACATAAACATTGGGTAATAAAGATAATGTCACTTAAAGCCTTTTGGATGTAAAACAAAATTTATAACTGTATCTTATTCTTTAAAGAAAGTACTAAATTTTTTCCCATTAAAATTTTTTTTGTTTCTGTTTTTGTTGGTCGTGAGGTCTGAATTCTGGGCCTAGGCACTGTCCCTCAGCTCTTTAGCTCAAAGCTAGCACTCTACCACTTGAGCCCCAGTGCCACTTCTGGCTTTTTTCTTTTTGCTTATGTGGTGCTGAGGAATCAAACCCAGGACCTCATGCATGCAAGGCAAGCACTCTACCACTGAGCTACCTTCCCAGATCCATTGTTTTTGTTTTTTAAAATGGCTATTTATTATAAAGGTGATGTACATACGGGTTACAGTTATATAAATCAGTCTCTCAGTTCCTCCCCCCCCCATGTCATTTTCTTTTCTTTTCTTTTCTTTTTTTTTGGTCAGTCGTGGGGCCTGAACTCGAACTGGACGTTGTCCCTGAGTTCTTCAGCTCAAGGCTGGTGCTCTACCACTTGAGCCACAGCGCCACTACTGAGCCACCTTCCCAGCCCTGCCCCATGTCATTTTCAACATAGTATCTAGTTAGTACCACTGTTGCATTTATTCACTCTTTGTCTCTCTATTTCCACTTAAAATTTGAGTAAGCACTTACCTGGCAAGTTAGTTGGACCCATTCATGGTTTATTAGTTTAGATTACTTAGTACCAGTAGATTAATTTTAATGTTAATTACCACTAAACAAATAGTAGTATTAAATAGATACGGACTAATATTAAAAAATTACGGAACAAACAGAAAATACTAGTTTTTTTTTTTTTTGTCTAAGACCAGTACTCAAACTCAGCATCTGACACTTGATTTTGCTAACTGGCTAATGTTCCACCACTATAGTCATACCTCCAACTCCCCCCCCTTTTTTTTTGGGTGCCAATACTGGAACTTGAACTCCAGAGCCTTATGCTGTACCTTAGCTTTTTCACTCAAGACTGATACTCTATACTTGACCCACAGCTCTGCTTTGGATTTTCTAGTGCTTCTGAGTTAAGTTTCATGGATTTTCCTGACTGAGCTGGTTTCAAACAGGGATCTTCAGTTCTCAGCCACCTGAGTAGCTATGATTCCTGGCATGATCCATCAGCACCTGGCTCCCCCTGCCCCCCCTCCCCAAATGGCTGGTCGTGTAGCCTGAACTCTGGGCCTGGGTGCTGTCCTTCAGCTCAAGGCTAGTGCTCTACCACTTGAGCCACAGTGCCATTTCCAGCTTTTTCTGCTTAAGTGGTTCTGAGGAATCAAACCTAGGGCCTCATCCATGCAAGGCAAGCACTCTACCACTGAGCCACCTTCCCAGCCCATGGCTTCTTTTTTTAATAGGCTTGGTTTGCATGACTTTGGGTGATTCTCTTATGTATCATGAACAATAGCATTAAACTATGTCTTTGGTCAAACCATGTTATCAATCTCAATGAGCACATGACTGTTCTTATGTACATTTTAAAATAGGGTTTGGGGAAATGTTTTAAAGATGCCTCCTCTCCCCAGGTTTGCTTTGTTTATGGGTGTACTTCTTAGGGGGGTGTTTGTTGCTGAGGAGACACTTTAGTTTTTTGATAATAGTAAGGAAGTTCTCTGTACTAATTTGGCTGGCTTGGTTATTTTCACAAAAGCCTGGCACCAGTGGCTCATGTTAGCTACTCAGGAGGATCATGATTAGAAGCCAGTGTTACAGAATTGATCGGAACAATTAATTCCAACCCAATGTTTTAATAAAAAACAGGAAATGCTTTCAAATGAAATACCTTTTTATAGAAGTTGCCAAAGAGTAAATGCAAATCTTGCCATAGTTTGTACTGGAAGTGTTAGTTATTTTAAAAGTACTATGGGGCCTGGAAAGGTGGCTCAGTGGTAGAGCTGAAATGCTGAGGGATAGCTCCCAGGCCCAGAGTTCAGGCCCCATGACTGGAGGTGGTGGGGTAGGGTGGTGGGGTGTGGGGTAGGGGGTGGGGGGAGGGAGTGACTATGTAGTGTGGAACATAAGAGACAAAGTATTTTCCTGGTTTTTTTTTTTTGTGGTACTGGTGTTTGAACTCATGGCCTCACTCTTGCTAAACAGGTACTCTGCCACTTGTGTGCCCTATTTTTGAAACAGAGTCTTGAAGAATGTATGTGCAGGTTGGCTTGGATCTCCATCCTGCTGTTTATGCTTCCATGTAGCTAGGATGACAGCTACACACCAACATGCCCAGCCTTTCTTTGATAGGATGGAGCTTGAAGAACTTTTCCTGGGCTTACCTTGGATCCAAAACCTTCAGCTCTCTACCTCCTCCCAATAATAGGATAATCCTTATAGCAGGGATTGTAGGATTGAACCCTTGTGTTCAGAGCACCATACATATTTTCTGAAAACTAATGAATATGTTTTATTATTGAGAAAATGATTTAAGTCAAACTACATTATGTGAAACAAAGGAGTTTTGAGAACTCACCGAATGACTTAAGTGATTTTAGGAACTTTTTTTGTTTTTGGCAAGTGTAAAAGTGAGCTGATCTTACTGTTTTGAGAACAGTCTTG